TTGGTATTGGCATATTTAGTCCTTGGATATATATTGGATTTTTTTTCCCCTTCTGGTGCTGGGGATCAAACTCGGCCTCATGCGTATGAGGTGAGTATTGTACCACAGCACTCCATTCCCAGACTCTGTATGTTGGGTTTGAGTGTTAATAACAATGTAGAATATTTATAGGGTGTATGAATAGCAAATTTTTTTTCCAATGGGAAGAATAAATGTTTCATTAACAACTATCCTTTAAAGAAAATTTTTAATTCTATAGCTCATCTTATTTGGGAATAATATCATATGTTAAGTGATGATGAAGAAAGCGTGTTTATGAAAAAATATCCTTTAGACTTAAATCCTGTTCAACAATAATGAAAATTTAAAATGTTTTATAGGGTGTTTCTTACATCCATTCAACACTATTGCAAACTTGTACCCTATGTCCTTATTACTAGTATGAGGGGGAGGAAATTCCTAAGAACGTGCATAAGGTGAAGATATTGTATACACTATAATAAAGAAGCATTTAATCTCAGTTACTATACAGGTCTTAAAAAGTTATGTGGGAATGTATGGTCTGTTTTATGTATATTTTCTGTTGAATGGACAAAAGCTTGTGGTTAACTGTGGTTAAGATGGTGAGGAAACTCCCTTTGAATAAAGAATAGAGTTGCCCCAGTTTTTGAATTGTAGCACATTAATCAAAATACATATCTGGTAAATTCCATAATCTTTTTGATATGACAAGATTGTATTAAAGTACATAATGTCATTATCTGAGACTTCCTTTGTTAAAGATTTGTTTTAAAATATTGGGAATTTCAGATTTGTTGTGTAGATTTCTCATATTTTATCATTTATAAAGTATCAAGTATTGGAATTTATTATTCTGCTATGGGAGCTTAATGACAGCTTTTTCTGGGGTAGAATTTTACCTTGAGTGGAACTTATATAGAATTCACTGGAGTAAGAGGGGAAAAATAATGCATTAAGATAACCCATTGGAAAGTCTGCCTAAATTAACAATGATTTTGATGGTACTAATTTAATGTAAGTCTGTCTTGATAAATGAAAAGAAAAATTAGTCATTGTCACAATTAGAATTTTAGATTTTGCAGGAAGGGTGTTTTTCCCATTTGTCAACACTGTAGAGAATAAACGCTTCCAGTGAACCCTTTATATAAAGATGTCTTTAAAAACTTGCTTGGTAGTAGCATTTACTATATCAGTGCTTATTATGGTGAGCTTTTACATGACTTCACTATTGACTTAAGAATTGTTATAGTGTCTTGGGACACTGTTAGACCAGCATGGAAGGTTGGCATTTGTCTGCTTTAGATAGGAATTTGAGATTGCCGTATTTTGCCATCAGACTTCAGCTATGCTCGGGTGCATCATTAATCATAGGAAATGCAAAAATAATCCATTCCCATTGGATTTTTTTATATGAATTCTTTTCCTATATACAGAACTACATATAATATATATAATATACATACATATACATATATATATATATGTATATAAAACACACAGTTGAGGTATTTAGGTAACCTCTAACCTTTTGCTTTAACAAAGAAGTACAGTATAAAAATATTACCACAGTTTTCATGTGAGCAGCTCTTGAGAGAAAAAAAAAAAGCCCTCTAGATGAATGTTTGTTGGAAAAAAGTTGTGATACAGAATGTCTTAACTTAGCCCCAGTATAGTACTTGAGGACCACCAGTGTGTAAAATTGAAAGCACATGAATTTTGAAGCACTAGAAAAGGTTTGTAATTGATTAGCGCTGCTTGAAAGTATTGAAGTACAGTGAGATTTGATTTGTGAATGGTTCTATTCAATAAAGATTAATTCTGTGTATTTGATAAAATCTCAGTGCCTTCAATGAGTTAGCCCCCCCCCCAGTTTATTTAACCATCAAATATTTCAGTGTTCTTTTAACAAACTGGAACATTTCTATCTTACTGAATTTAACTTTAACATGACTGATTTAAGCAGGTCAGACTAACAGTGATTAGCTTGAAGGGATTAATTGAATAGATTAATTTTTATTCTATTAAAAGAACTAAAATATATCATAATGTAATCATGTACATTTCATGCCTTGTGATTTAGAGACTCTGGAGGTTTAAACAGATGCACAGTAGCTATGATTTGTTTTTAATCTTTCATATTACAAACATTTTAAAAATTTAAAAGTGAAATCTAACCCATTTTTCATTTAAGATTGGAATTATTTATAAATTAAAATACTAAAATATGAGCCTTTGGGAATTACACTGATTTTTTTACTTTATTATATATTATAGTAATCTATGTTCTTGACTTTTAATTCTTTTCTTTGGATTATATAATTTAGCTCTCTTGTTTTAAAACAAGTTACAAAACTTTGTCATTACTAAATCTTGAAACTATAATATTATTATTGACGTAGACCACAAGTGTTGCTTTGGAAATCAGTATTCATATTTAATCAGTTACTTTGGTCAGTTAGATTTTGTGTAGAAGTTTAATCAGTCAGCTTATATATTTTCATAAATAAGTTCTTCATTGTAGGATACTTGGTGAGTCAGTTTGTTTTCAACAGGCTTTATGATAAATAACGGACAGATTTTTGAGTAGCCACAGATTGAAAATTCTTGATTAATTCAAAGTTATGCAGGGAGATCAAGGACACTGACAGCTTTCTCCCTCTCTCCCTCTCTTTCCTTCTGTTTCTCTCTCCCACACACAAACACACCCATACCCTTTTTGTTTATTATATTTGAGATGTTTTAATCAGCGATGCTTTGTTCCTCGCTTAAGCTTTTTAAACTATTTTACAGAATTGGGGCACATACGACATTTCATAAATGGCATGATAATCGTTATGTAAGAAGCTAAAACCTGAAGTGAGGTTTTAGACTTTGCGTAGATTATGGAATGGGGGAATGTGTGCAATATGATGATAACCTATACCTGGTAGTGGGAATGCCTACTACTCACCTGTAATTAGTCTGGTGTAGTGGGTTCATGTTAAGTTCTCTATCTAGGCTCAGAGGTGCTATTTGGCAGGGTAAGATTCACTTCTCAGAAGAGAAAGAATTAATTTTAATGTTAAAAAAATATGAAATGCAACAAGAGATGATCTGCAGTTTATTTTTATGCCTTAGAAACTTGGTCTGGCTTTGGAAATTTTAATGTAGAGTAGTTATTAAGAATGTTACCTCACAGGACCTGAGGTAGGATAGAATAAGGATCATTTCAGTATATTCTTTGTGTCAATTTTAACATTTTTTTGGACAGCTTTACTTGCTCAGGTATTCCTTGAAACTTGGTGTTCTCGATCTGATTAGAAAAATTTATTTTAAAAAACTGAGTGCTATTTTTAAAAGCTGAGTAATGTGAAAGAGCAACTTAACCACTTGATGTACCTGTTACAGCTAATCCCTTCATGTAGCATTAGTTTTAACTTTTTTTCTCTCATCTCTGGTGGTGATAGCAGACTATCCCACAAATAAACTAATAATGATACAGACTATAATGCAGTCTAGTTGTAGTTATTTTATGCTTCCTAAATGCAGAAAGTTTTAGAATAATGCTTAATACCTACTATTAAATTTTTAAATAATTTGTGATTATTATATTTATGCATTATAACTGTGAGTGAACCCACTTACAGCTATTGAGGGGGTCATTACAGCAATTTTACATATTTTATAAAATACAAAGTTCATTTCTTTACCCTTTAAGAGAAACCTTTTTCCCTCCTTTGGTTTAATTATTTCTCTTTGACCTAAACTAAGACTGATCCTCTGGTAGTAGCCAGTTAAAATGTGTGAAGTAGGAGGAGTAAAGGAAATGCCAATCGTTAGTTGAAAATTACAAAGCAAAGTTAATGTAGATACATACAGCAAAAGGGCTGATTTTAAAGGATGAAAGAAAAATTTTGTAGAAATTGCCTTTTAGTTGGAACATGTTGGACATCATAAAGAGAATCTTGTAAGTGATAAACTATTTTACTATAACACTGTGTCAGTTGATAAATGTTGCAGTAGTTTGTATATCTGTATCAACACTAACTTGAAATTAAATATTAAGGGACTGTATTATGCCTGTTTTGTTTTAAAGTCCAGCAAGGTTGAATAGGAATGGCTCTTTCAAATCATGCAGGGTATTCTTACCGAGCTTTATTTTTCATGAGACTAAAATGATATTCATTTTGGTATTTCCAAGAATGTGATTAACAGTCGTAGATGTTTCAATATTTGCTATATGTTTACAACAAGTTCTGCATATGGGTAACAGCACGTGGATGTAAAGCTATGTAGAAAAATAGAGTTGTATGCAAGTTTTAAAAGACTCTTGTGAACTTTTAAATATCCTGAGTAACTCTGCAGATCTTTTAAAAACATCTATGGTGTACTTAGAATAATTTTATTTCAGTTGAATGTATGCTTCAATTGTGTACAGTTGTTTAGAAACAAATTTTTGTAGATATGATGCAGTATAAAATTATAAATGGATTTCTTTTTAGTTGAGCTAGTTAAAATGTTAAATTCACTACAGGTTTATTTCTGTGTTGTACATGGTAGACCATAATGTTGCAATAATTCTGTGGTCTGTTATTTTGTAAAATTGCTTCCTTTTTGAAGTTTGCTCAAATATTGCGAGCTGCTAAATCAGTGATTTATTAATTCTTTGATCAATTTAGCATCTAATTTTATTCTACTGCGAGTTAATAAGAATTATTAAACTTCTACTGTTTTAATACCCTGATTTGTATAATTTTGGAAAACATTTTGATTTATGTGAGCTTACTAATTTTGTCTATTTCAAGTCATTACTCCAAGAGTTAAAGTTATAAATGCCAAGTGCAAATATTTACAGCAATTTCATTGTTCAATTTTTAATGCAACAAAATAACATGACATTTAGTATCCTGTTATATGAAGAAGCTAGCAGTTTATCTAAGAATCATATTATATTAAGCAGGTTCACATATGATAGCATTTTAAAATACAGTAACACTTACCCCAAAAGAAGTTTTGCTGACATGGTGTCACTGTGCTGAAGAGGCTGTTTGATGCCATAGTCCCTCTTTTTTTTTCCAGATAGAACTTGTACCCTCTGTTGTAAATACTGCTTGCAGCCTTAGACTGAAAATACAAACCATACCCAAATCTTGTTTTAGCTTTACAGTATGCCTGTAGTACGTAGACTTTATATTTATTTTTTTCTGTTAAGAAATTATGTAGCTGGAAACATGTGAAAAGCAAGGAAACAAAACAAAAAGAAAATGAGCAAATATTTGAAGGACCTACTATTACTGCATAGACTGTGGTTAGAGAGCACTCACTGACTCTGTTGGTCTCCGTGGCTGGTAGTGACCTGCGGAGATTAACCATTTAAACACCAGAGACGACTTGCTGTCCTCCTGGAGAAAGTTTGCACCGCACTTGTGGTTCTGTGGTTGTTTGTGAGGCGAATGAAGCATTCACACAATCCAAAAAAGCAAAAGCTTTAAAACTCCTTTTTTTGCAAGCACTATTACTGGAGAGACAGAATCATGTGGTTTGTGACCTCACAGTGCTCAAAGTGGGACTGCCTACCACTGTGGCTTTCCCCCCTTGCTCTTGCTCTCTCCCTTCTTCCCTTCTCTCTCTCTCTCTCTCTCTCTCTCTCTCTCTGTCTCTGCCTG